AAAGTAATAGAAAAACAAAAAAAGCGAGAGATTGCACAGCACCACTGTTTCTTTTCGTCTATATAAAACTATGACTACAACGATGTGGCTAGAGGTGAAGCGAGAGGCGGTGAAACCATAGCTCGGCCAAAGCAGAGGCAAAACCTTTGGTTGAAGTGTGGCCGGAGAATATGAATCGTCCAGTGCCAAAAAAGTTGAAGAAATTGTTGCTTGAGCGACGACGATCACCTTCGATAGCAGTGTTGCCGGAGGTGGTAAGGCACCAACAGAGTACTGACTCTGAATTTCAATATTGGGGAAAATGTAAGTTGTGGGTGTAGAGAGATTTGGGAGAGAGAGGCTGCGTTTTTCTTTGAGAGATTTAGGGGAGAAATGCTGCATTTTTCTTTAGCTTTAGTTTAGGTTTTCTTTCCTTTTTTTTTTTTTTTTTACAGTTTTTTGAAGTGCTACATCAGCCTGGATTTAACCCTGTTTTCTACCCTGTGCGTGTAGCAGAATTGATGTTCAATACATAGTCTACATGATTCCCATGGAAATGGCCTTTATTTTTGGGGGGTTTATTATCTTCATTGTCACATACATACTTTATTGAAAAAGCAAAGAATATGAACCACAAGGTAGGAAGCCTAACATTACCCATTACAGTCCTTTTCTGTTTTTATGCACAAGGAAGACAATATTTTCCCAAACTATACCTCAGGTTTGTCAATTGCGGACCAAATGCTCGATTCTATGTTCCTGTACTAGGCATTTTAGTGTCAACAATGCTTGGAGTGCTACGTTGTATTACTACTGTTAGGTCTTTTGATACCCAATAATCCGGGCGATGATTTAAAATAACTGTCGGATTATTTATCGACACCATGGACTTGGCTTGGCTCGAAGACGAACTACACTTTTGGATGGCCCAAGTCTTGGTTAGTGTTGGGCTTTGGGGTATTTGTTGAATTAGTAGATTGTGGGTTGAATTAATTGGTAGCCCATTAGTTTAGGTTTTAAGAAGCCCTTTTGCAAAAGTTTTTGACCCAAGTTTTGTGTCTAACCTGTGCTATATATATATCCATATATATTCCCAGCCGTTTTCTCTATGGTGGTGAGTGGGTGTGTGTGGAAGAGAGGGTCGTAAGAGAGAGAGAGGGCCGAGATGGTTGAGGGGCAGCCGGCTTGGAGGGTTTGTTGGAGTGATTCTCACCATTGTTGCCTCTTCTTTTCCTTCATATTACCACCACCATCCCTTCTCTTTTTGTGGGGTTTGAGAGAGTTTAGGCAGTCTAAATTGAAGGCGAAAATCTTGGGTCGAGTTGAGGTAAATCGGTGTTCGTTTGATTATTTTTTGAGCCCGAAATCAAGATTTATCGAGGGATTTCCGCTACAAATGGTATCAGAGCTTGTGTTGTTGTTAAATATGTGATTTTTGGGGGCTAAAATCAAGCTAGAAGTGGCCAAAAATCGATCTGGAAAACAGGCAGAAAACTTGATGAAATCTGGGCAGATTTTTGCAAAACTGGACAGATCTGTTTTGGTGTTTTCCAACCAAACCAGTTTCCATTTGGAGAAACAGACACCACCATTAGACTGTGTAGGTGGAGACGGTTCAAAAAGGTTGGGGGTGCGTGGCCGGCTGGCCGGTGGCTCGTGGGTATTCCGACGAAGCACGTGCCGACGCGTGAGGAATAATCAGGAGAATTTTTCAACAGACAGAATGCTGCTAGAGATAAGATGGACCCTGTGGTGTTGTCGGATTTCAGTTTTGAGCAATGCAGTGAAAGTGGGAGGATTTTGCCTTTGGACTTTCGGGTGTCGGGTGTTGTTTTCGTGTTGCTGTAGTTGCTGATGACTTTAGGATGAATAGTGATAGTCCTGAAGTGATGAATTTCATGTCTCTCGATATTTACGAACCTTCAGACGTGGTCCGCTCGGTATCGTATTTTTTGCCTTTTATTATTGCAGTTAAAATTAAAGTATAAGCTAATTATTTATTTTGCGCATTAGAAGTCATTGTGTGATGTGACGTTAGGTTTGGGGTTACCGTGAAGGGGATAATCATTGCTTGTTGCTAGACCTAGGAATTACATATTAACTAATTACCTTAAATTCTATGTGAATTTGTCACCAATTTTTCTACACCGATAGAATTGCATGTGACCTTAGGAAAATTTACTTGACTATTCTGTGTGAATTATGTGTCAGTACTTTGCTTGTGGTCATTATTTGGTATTTTTGACATGTATAGGTCTAAGGCAAGTGCGAAAAATAAAATATGTTTTAATTGTGGTAAAATTTGGGCATAATTGAAAGAGATTGTCCTTGGATGATAATAAAAGGAAAGATAAGGATAGAGAGGGTTGAGTAGTGATCCTAGTGAGGTTTATTGAGAGAATAAACCTGGTTCTTGCATTGCATCTGTGTGTAATCCATTCTGCATGTATGTGGTCACTTAATTCTGTTGCAATGTTGATGTTACATTTTCAATATGTTTGATGTGTGTAATTGCATGAATTAGAGTGACTTATTACTTTGTGTAATATGTTTACATGCATAGTGTGTTAATTTTTGTGGCGTACTCTATTTGCTCTGTGAGTGGTGTGAGAGTGTGGTAGTGAGAAGAAAGTTGGGCAGTCGTTCTCTCCTTTATCTTTGTGAGCCTGTGTGATTTGTGAGATTATGTAAGGCAGCCATGTTAGGGTTACCTTCTTTATCTTTGTGAGCCTCATTTGTGAGTGTTGTGAAGTAATTGACTCTTTCTTCGATTTTTCTTTGTGGATTTTTGGAGCTTTGGTGATTGGAGTAACCTTTGTGATCACCGAAAGGTGTTGTTTTGCCACAGTAAGTCTGTGATGCATTAGCAGTGAGTTGGATGTCTTTTGGTAAGATGGAGTATAGATGCCTAGATGTGCATTGGTGATATGCACGGGGGATGTGGAGTGTGACATTTGGATCATGAGTGGAAATGTGATCAAATGCGTAGAATCCTTTATCTGTGAAAGAGACCCTGATCAGGTGGAGTGTGAGAGAGACACTTCTATCACTTCTGTAAGGTGGAGTCCCATTATCCACGTAGGTTGGGAGAACTGATGTGTGATAGAGAATTATCCCGAAAGTTTAGGATCTATTGTGACTTACCAGTTAGACATGAGTTGAGTGACCTGTTTAGTGAGCATGATGGATGATGAAAGGAGATATGTATTCTTGAGGTGTGAGCAACATGGAATGTGATAGGATAAGTGTGGTGAGATCTTTTCTTATGGTCATTTATGCATGTGTTGCATATGTGGTTAATCGTGGTTTGATTAACTAGGTGTTAATTTCTAGTTCTGTGTGACCGTGATTTTGAAAAGATCTCTGTGTGTGTTATCCTATATATCTTCATCGCATGATTGTTTGTTCATTGTGAATACTTGTTTCTACTTGGGTGTTCTTAACCTTAGCCCTGGTGAGTACATGGAGCAAGTATGGTATGTGTTTCGATTTGAAACACGAGGTAAGGTCTATGATTCCAATTTTATTGGATTACCTTGATTGTACAAGTATAAACTGTGTGTTTTGGTTGGTTGCAGATTATTGGGTATCAAGGTGGAGATTGTTGGGTTTTTTGATACCCAATAATCTGGGCGATGATTTTAAACAGTTGTCGAATTATTTATCGACACTGTGGACTTGGCTCGGCTCGGAGACGAACTACACTTTCGGATGGCCCAAGTCTTGGTTAGTGTTGGGCTTTGGGGTATTTGTTTAATTAGTAGATTGTGGATTGGATTAATTGGTAGCCCATTAGTTTAGGTTTTAAGAAGCCCTTTTGCACAAGTTTTTGCCCCAAGTTGTGTGTCTAACCTATGCTATATATATCTATATATTCCCAGCCGTTTTCTCTATGGTGGTGAGTGGGTGTGTGTGGAAGAGAGGGTCGTGAGAGAGAGAGGACCGAGAGGGTTGAGGGGCAACCGACTTGGAGGGTCTGTTGGAGTGATTACCATCATTGTTGTCTATTCTTCTCCTTCCTATTATCACCACCATCCCTTCTCCTTTTGTGGGGGTTTGAGAGAGTTTGGGCAGTCCAAAGTGAAGGCGAAAATCTTGGGTCAAGCCGAGGTAAACCGGTGTTCGTTTAATTGTTTTTTGAGCCCGGAATCAAGATTTATCGAGAGATTTCCGCTACATGTGCTGCAAGCGTTGAGTCTCGAAGACTGAATGTGGTTAGAAAACACGATTTGCTGGAAAACCCCAATGATACAATTCCAAAGAGCATTTTCTGGCTACTTACACAGTATGTTCTTCTCGGGGCTGCAGATGGGATTCTTGAATTCTGTACGCCGACTTTTCTCAATAACTACTTTATTCTCCCATGTAGCCAATTCATGCTTACTTTTACAAGTCATGGACAGGGCTTGGGATGCCTTGGCAGTGTGCTGTGTGTGTATATTGTTGGCAAGCCGAGTGAAAACAGAGGAAATCCGAGTTGGTTTCAAGGCACGCTCAATGAAAGTCGACTCGATAAGTACTAGCATGGTTGATTGCCAGCAACATTTTCCCATTCATTGTCTTGAGATTCTGGTATGGTCATATGCGAAAGAAGGAGGAGGATGCTCCTAGTGAGACCCAATGGTGTTGCTGTTGTAAGATGTGTATTGTATATGCATGCCCCTTTTTTTCCTGATTTCAGTTTTTAAGTTGATCATATATCATTATTTTTACAGTAGAAGATAAGGTCATTTGGCAAACTTTTTTCTGTTTACATGGGATAAAGATTATCCTAAATGTTTTGCATGATTATAAGGTGGGATTTTTAGCTCAAAAGGTAACAGAATGGTAACCTTTCATTGATTTTTCCTTTTTAGTAAAGAATGCCCAGACCGTATATAGAAAGTTACCTTTCAATGATATATTACCATTTACAGATGTTTAATTTGTTGAATTTCTTACCTAAACCATTTGATTTCTTGGTACATAACCTCTTTTTCTATTTCATATACATCCTTTTCTCGCACACCATAGAACACTTCCTAGAAGGAACTCGCAACTGATCTTTGCAAAGATGAAGAGGATTTCAAGAACTCGATGCAATCCTTTATAGCCTCGGCCCGCTGAGAATCAAGGTTTTCAGCATATGAACATGATCCTACCAAACTAGACAAAGAAATTTTACGCGAATACCGTTTTCTAGTAGACACAAACTGCAGAGCTCTCACCACCTTTGCTCCGATGCCACGAAAGAATCTAACTGGCGAAAATCTAAGGCTTTTTACAGGTCTGAAACTCCACAGTACAACGACTTTCTTTTTTCGGCCAACTTTTGTGCCACCACCATGTTTGTGGTGGATCGGTGGCTTCTCATTGGCAGGAACGAATCTCACCCTCGGCATCGTTGCGCTAAGGAGGGCACGGTATGTTCGGGTGCATTTGTCGAGAGATAGAGACAGAGATAGAGATAGAAGAAGAGGGAGAGATGGTGATGCTGTAGGATGAATATATTGTGAATTGATAAGCAAAAGAAGAAGAAAAGACTGGAGAACAAATAGAGGTTAAACTGGAATGGGAGTCCCTAAAATGATTGCACTTCAACAATTACAACATTTAAAGACTCAGATTTGTTTGGGGACTAAACAATCAATTGATGTAGTTATTTAATTCATGGGGCCATAACTTATTCACCAATTAATTGATTTGTCACGTCACTGATGTTTAGCATAAACTAAAGCACCGACGTTTAACTACACATATATATCATATATGTAATGTTTGGTAAGTTAAACTAGACACAATAATTGATATATTTTATTACATCTCTGTCAGTCAAGAAAGACAGGTATACACTAGCCTTTAGAATTTCAGTGACACAAGTATGAACAATAGAAATGCATGCTTAGAGAAAGATGAAACAAAATCAAGAAAATTGTCTGGTCAAAAAGAAAGAAATGGAGGGAGGGGTCCCTTAGAAAAATAGTACAGCGTGTCATAATTACAAGGAAAAAGATAGGGCGGAGGGTGGGGGTAGAGAAACTCTCATCTTAGCCCTTATTCAAAGATGGAACTACTGAGAATAATGTTCTGGGAAATCTTTTGAGTTTCACATAAATTCACAAAGACTTTTACAAATCTTGGCGTTTGAATTAAACACAAGAACTTGAACTTAGAGAAAATGGTCAAAGTCTCCATTAATGAATTCAGAAAAATATGAACAAGTTTGATGCTACCTTTAGACTACTAGTGCATTTTTAATGCCTTGGTGAATTTCTAAAAAAACATTTCCACAGTCAAAATAAACGGTATTAGTTAGCAATATTGATTTGTAGATAGAATCATTGGTGACCAATTATGAGGTTCAATGTCATAAACATCAATGTCACAATAACTCTTTCAACTTGCATCCCACCCCATATGGCAATCTATAGAATACAGTAGATTTACACCCCAACTGTCTACAACTGCACATCATCACATGTATATACAACAATAAACAAAATTCACATCGACCATATGGGGGAATATTAAAAAATGGCTCAGCATTAAAAGATCTATGTCAACACTTGCTAGCGCTCTTAAGTGGATGAAAATAGAGGCTCGAGGGACATCATAGCGAAGCAAGGCTAAGAGGATTGCACTTGCAAGTACCGTCTATTACCTTTAGTTAACACGTAATAGGAAGATTTTTGAAGAGCTTTCACCCAATTTGGATTGCATTATGGGACGGATCAAGATACACGTATATAAAGTTATGTTCTCTTCGTATCCGGATGTTTTGATCCATTTTGAGTTTGTAGCATTGGGTCATTGACTATTTATGCACTTCACTTTTTTTGATATCTCACGAGTATACCAAGAGTAATTGTATGTGATATTGACTCTTGTTTGCCCGAGTATGCCTGGTGTACTTGTATATGAACAATTTGATCAATGAAAGTTTATATTTACCGATAAAATAAATAAATAAATAAATAAACAAACAAAATTTTATTCTTGAAAAGCTTACGAGTTTGTAAAGTTCTTAAATCTTTTTTCCATCATTTGATTCTCTCTTAAATAATCTGGGAAAACACTCATACATCAAGGTGATGGAGCCTGTGGTGGGCCTTGATGAATGGGCCAAGGTATCCTTAAGGAAATACAAGTTCTGAGATCGACCAGGGGCGAAGGTGCCTAATGACATGAGGTTGGGGTTCTTCTAGCTATCAAGGGCGATATAAATTGAGCCGAAAAAGCACAGGTGCACCGAAGATCGCATAGGATATCATGGGATGGTAAAGGATATGCCGAAGGTGACTTGTGATATGCTGAAGTGGGGCGGAAGAAATCAGTCATAGCTTGTTAGCTCAAGAATTGAGTTAAAGCTACGACTTGTTGCTTGAGTTCATGAAATCCTTTGACTTCATGACCACCTGAGGTATCGCTGGTGCTAGAGGGTCTTGATTGTGTTGCGGATCAATGAGAGAAAAAGTACCTACTAACGGGAATTTTGAGTATAAATGTTATCTCCGATTTTTGGTTTACAGACCCCCAAGCATGATGTCCGGATCATATATCGACCATAATTTTTAATAGTGCTTTACACAGACAGCCACATTGATGCTACAAAAAATGGTATATGGAGATATCCAAACGTGCACGAAAGATGACCACGAACATTGCCTTCGAATTACCTGCAAAAAGGCAAGGAAAGTTGTTTCAGTAGTCATTCCAATACTTAAGTTAGAAAATAGATCAAGGTAATAAATGCACGACACTATAAACTCAAGAATGTAAAGATTGCTTAGTTGATTGGGGCTTCGGCACTAATTATAACGGTTTCTTAATTGAAAGTTTAAGACCTGGGGTCGAGTCTCAAGAGTGGACGAGGACCCCAAGCTCCGAGTAGATGACTAAGTAATGGATGAAAAAGGTAGGTGTACCTAGGCTTAAATAGGTACCATCGATGACCTTTGGGTGGTGATATGATCAATACTATGAAGACATGAATAGTCGAGGGCCAATCCCTCTCCAGAATGGGCTTGGAGGATATGACATAATCACAATCCAAAAATATATTCCAGGAATCCATCGTATCCTTCACCAAACTGAAAAAAAATAATAAAAATGAAAAATCACCAAGCAACTGATCAAGGAGATCAGAGTCCAGATGCCAGCCCAGTAAGTCAACCTTTTAACTTATGGCCCAATTCCTAATGAGCAGCCCAATGTCCAGTAATTTTAATGTAGCCCAATAATTTTTTTGGTCACATTTTTTTTTCTTGGGAATTAAACATAGAGTTCTACATATTTATAATTTCTAACAAAGAATATTATATACATTAGCGGAGCGCTTGGACCCACATGGGGTCTCTTCTTATAGATTTCATTTTCGCTTTCAAGAAAAAGCGATAAAACTATAAGACTTCATCTTGGTAGAAAGTATAGGTCATGCCGGTGCTGTCACAAAAATATATTTTAACTTGATATATTTCGTACCTATACATATTTGACATTTGTCGATAATGAAATTTCATTTAAATTATTATATTATGTAATTTGAGTACGCTAATGATAATATATATTATCATTTAGCGTACTAAACTTAAACTTACATTATATTATAATTTTATTTTTGTTATATGTATGAGTATTTTCACATTCTTGTCTTCTTTGCACCTTTTTCTTTGATATGCATCTAAAGCTCCTAGAAAGTTTGTTCCAGTGTATTTTTATGTATGGCCCACTAGAATAATTTTGAAGCAAGGTATCATAATCTGATAAAAGGAATAAAGACTAACAAACACATAATAAAGTAGATATTATTTTTTTATAAATTTAATAAACATAAGGTCAAATTCTTGAATTATTTTTTGTTGTTTCAATTACCTTATCGACATTTACTATAAGTCTCCATAAAATATATATTAGGTTTCATAACATAGTTGACAAAATTTTTACATTTTTCAAAAACTTCTACATTTTACATTGCTATTTATTTGTGAAAGTTTTGTCTTGTGGGCTTGTAAACACATCACTATATTTAAAAATTAATTTTCAAGACAAATTCTACATAATATAGTTGTAATATAAATATGAAAGCATATACCCTTCACAAGAGGCATCCGTTATGAGCAAATCGACTACTTATTGGAGGAAAAGATTGAGTCTTGATAGTTATTTAACGAAAAAGAATCATCGCTAATTTATTGTCATCGTCATAAAAATTTCGAGATTATGGTCAAAATAAAGTTATCGTATGCACGTGTGTGTATGAGTGCATAAAATTCGAATAAAGTAATAAAGTGGCTTGAACATGCAAGTTGCAAAAAAGATACTTCTTTGAAAAAGGAAGAGGGGGTTTAATTTGTCATTTATCATAAATTCTAATCAAAATGGTTATACTGATATTCTTGCCTTAGAAATTCTCCAGCTAGTGGGTGGGACCAGAAATGATATGCACAACTCCTGTTGGTGGACATTGGCTTTTTAAAATGGTCCCACAAGAAGCAACACACCAATGGTGACAACACAAGTTAACAACCAACTCAAGGAAAAGGATGTACGTAAGAGACGAAACTAAACGGTATACTGAATTAAAATTTAATTACTGCTTTTCTTTTTTAATACTATTCATTCTTATCTATCAAACGTAATGCTAGTGGTATATGATGAAGAAAATGAATCACTTTCGAACATTTCTACTTTGAACGGTAACAGTTAAATCTCACTAAGACATGTTATGTCGCATAAAGAATAAAGCGAGAAATCTTGACTTGTGAACATTAACAATCAATTATTTCACATTTGTTCCAACTTGAGCAAGAAGCATTTCCGTAAACTTGTGGTGTTCATTCATATCTTTTGGTACACTGAATTAGTTAAGATCGAATAATAGAATTAAAAAATTTGTCATGTTCCTTTCTAATTTAATCCTCTACAACTATTTAGTCCAATTTACCAAACCCAATTTCATAACATGACTAGTAAGATGGATTACACAGAGTACTGACAATATAATGAAAGAAAAATTTGTTGAACCTTCATGTTCCAAACATACTATTATAGTTTACGTCTTGATAACTCAATCATGATGTCCCTTGAACAACAATAGATTTAAATTAGGCTGGATTTCTTTCTTGAAATGAATTGGTCCTCAAAATTAAGTCAGATAGTTTCTCTGCAGGTGAGTATTCACATTTTACCAAATGGAATCTGATGAAAAGCATTGTTTATTTACCATTTTGCTTAGAGAGCGATACCGAGTCACCAAATTTGGATTAAGCATAATTTTTTTTCCAAATCCCGATATGTTTTTAGGTTCCATCACGACATAACAGAGGGAGTTAGTCGTAACATCCCAAAATTTTTTAGAACAATATTATTTAATGATAAGAATTTTAAGCTAGACACCTTTTGA